CAATCTCCTCTACTACTTGGTGTCGGTCTGCCACTATTGTTGTTGTTCAGGACTAATTATTAATCACCCTCTTCAATCCGTCAGCCTTCTTCATCCAGCACCAAATGTTGCTGTTAACAAGAAATGGTATGGTGTTGTCATCCAGGTCCAATCTGAAGCTCTCAGACTGTTGTCATTGCCTCATTCTAATATGTAGGCGTTGTTCAAGATTGAACTACCAACATCTATTAGGACCAGACTATTGCTATCTATCAAGACTATACTACTAACGTTGTTAGGGTTCAGATAGCTATGTCAACTAAGACTCGGTTGTCACCCATGATCGAGATTGGACTGTTAACTTTGACTAGGACTGTATTGTCGACATCATCTGAGTTATCTTTAAATTTAAACATAGAATTTAAAATTTTATCTAAGATCCAAACAAAAGATTTTAATATTATAATTTGAATTTTTTTATATCATCTAAACAAAAAATTTTAAATATGAGATTTTAAATTTAAATTTTCAACTCAAGTTCATTTATCCAAACGCAACCTTAATAGTTTTTTTCATAACATAGATAATGGAGGAGATATGAGTTAATTCATTAGCTTCTCGTTCACTTGTTTGTTCTTTTTTTTTTTTTAACTTTATGACTTTGCTGTTTATCTTATTATTTGAATCTGTTGAAATTAAAACTCAAAAGTAGTTAAGTGGACAAATATTATAATATTCTTTAAAAAAAATTAAAAATAATAATCCAGGCTAACGGGCCCAATGCAATAGGGTCAATGGCATGCTTGTATTTGAGTGTGTGCGTGTAAAGGATGAAAATGAGTTTTTCTTATATTATTTTACCTTATTTGTTATGTCCTCGTGATCATTACTTACTGTTTATTATTGTTTTTAGCTGAATTAAATAGAAAATTTGGCCCGGAAGTTTCCACCATTTGTAATTGGTATTCTTAACTTTCAATTGATGCAATGTTCTCTGAAAGTTTAAAAAACAGAACAATGTTGTCCTAATGTAACAATTTTAATAGTTAAAAGGAAATGTTGTCCCAAAAAATTTATATAAAAAAATAATTGGTATTCTAGACTTTAAATTCACATATTGTTTTTGAGTTATCAATCTTTAAATAAAAAGAAGGATCCAACAACCCGTTATGATCTAAATTTAGAAAAAGATCTTAAATTGAATTATGACTAAATGTCTTTAAATAAGAGTCTTGCCTAGTAGGGGGCATGACTTGTAAGGAACACTTTAAAGAAATTTATGTAGAGTGGCAAATAGAATCTTTTACAGACAGCTTAATACACAGTTGGATATTGAAAGTGGTACACAGTAGTCTTGTTAGAGTCCTAGCTAGAAATGACGTATGAATCACAAGAGATATCTTAAAGAACTTCACATGGAGGGAAATGCGCAACTTGGCATTCAAAGATAACCCCAAAAAATTAAAAAAAAAAAAAGTGATATTCAAAGTGGTAAAGTGGTCTTGTCATGATCCACCAAAATTCAGTCCAGTTAAGTTGATTTGATTCATTTCTCCCACCTTGGGCTAATCCATGTTGCCTATTGGCAAGTTCGTATTTGCTCATGGTTAGGCACGCAGAAACCTTGACGTGCAACCCCAAATTTTATGGACTTGTCTGGACTTGCTTATATGTAAACTAAGGACGGGTTTGTGAAACGCTCAAGTAGAGTTGATTTTATACCTAAACAACTTTAAGCAAGACTTTTAGTCAAAATTTGAGAATATGAATTATTTTTTAATATTAATAACCTAAAAATATTGCGTAAAAGGAAAAAATTCTCCTGACAATTTACAAGTCAACTTTCTAAGTTTAGAAGTTAATCTCATGGATTTACAAGCCAACTTTTTACATTTTCAACTTTTAAATCTAAGATATTAACTTGTAAATTTAGGAAGTTGACTTGTAAATTAAAAAAAAAAAAAATTTGTCTTCCTTTTGTATTTGTCATAAATACCCAAGATCCTTGAGACTTCACAATATTTAAACAAATTTGTAAGAGCTATTTATAATTAAGTCTCTTATTTTGGAATTGAAGTGATCTTTTTCAGTTTAAGAACTTGACTTATATTGGATGGATGATTCTCTATTGCTTATTTCCAAAAATTGATAACAATGCAGAAATAGCTGGTGCCACTGCTGAGTTATTTAATCGTCTTATTCCCAAGCACGCCAGGAACTGAATTTATTGGTCAAGTGACACGTCTTTAGGGAATGTAAATTGGGATTTTCCTATTTCTATTCTTTCTTTCGTTTGTATAGATATACCCATTCCGGCAATTCTATACGTACCCTAATAGTTCGTTCAGATCTTAGTCAACTGGACTACACTACTTTTAGACGGTAGGAACCTCAACTCCTTGCAAGTTGCAACCTATTCACAAAGAACCACACGAGGAACATAAGCTATGGGAAAAGTATCAAATGGATGAAGTGATTTAACGTGGAAAACACATAATTCACACTCACGCAGTCATGCAGTCAAAGTCAGAGAGAGAGTAACATCAGAAAATGTAACGATGCATGGACTCTGGAGTTCACATCTGATAATTATACTCCACCACTTTTTTTATTTTTTTATTTTTTCCGTCTCTTTCTGTAACACACATCGTCAATTTTATGCAGTTAGTGGATCTGGACTCGGTAACTAAGTGGAGAGAGATTGTACTTGCTTAAAATGTCTTGCAATTCACCTTGTGTCTATCCAGAAAAAAAAAAATGTTAAAAAATTTACTTCTCAACAATTCACTCAAAAACATTGATATTTTAAACTTATTGGTGTAATTTTTTATTTTAACATTTGAAAGCTATGCATTAGCCACTTCATTATTAAAAAATGTTAACTTTGACAATTATTGATTTTAAAATTACAAATTAATACTTTCTCCAAATCACAATGTAAGATATTTTTTAGAAGCTCTACTTGTTTAAAAATGTAGGACATTAGGTAATTTTTATTTTTATTTTTCAATTATACTTCTATTTCATATATTATTCTTTTTGAAAAAAATGGTGTATTGAAATTTCAATTATTATTAGTATGGTACTTATATAGAATATTTAATAAAAGTATAATTATATTACCAAGAAGTTAAAGTATAATTAAAAAGATGTACATTTTTTAGGATATTAAGGTTTTACCTAAATTTCTGTGAAATGGTTACCAATTTCTGATCAAGAGGAGTACTTGGTAAGAAAATTAATATTGGCTAACTCCCTAAAAATATAAATAAATATCAAGAAATAAATTTTATTTTTTATCCATATAGAAGACCAAAATATCATTTTGACAGACCATTTTTGATCCACTAATGGGTGCTTATCGAATTATTAGTCCTGACAACATTTATAAATAATTAAAAATAATATATTTGTTTTGAAGGAAAATATAAATTTTGGTCCTTGAATTTGTTTTCAATTATCAATTTAGTCCTTTAATTTTTGCTTCAAAACAACTTAATTTCTGGTGTCTTAACACAAAATAACTCAGTTCTTTTAATTTTTTGATTGAGTACAACTCAATCTTTATAATTTCTTAACTCAATAAATTAAAAGGATGGAATTATATTGAGTCAAAACTTAAATACTAAATTGATAATTAAGAGAAATTTTAGTCTTTTTCCTTGTTTTAATAAGATATTACTAAAATATTGATACTTTAATATTTAATAATAATAATAATAATAATAATAATAATAATAATAATTTATATAATATTATTTATAAACTTTTCTCCAAAAATTATGAATTTTCTTTTTAAAATTAACAGCTCAACTGGTGTATTCAAGATTTATAAGTAAATATGTTATTTACACTAACTGAATTGTAAGTTAAAATGGTATAGTAAATTATTATAAGTCTTCTTTCAAAATTTATAAATCCTCCTTAAAAAATTTACAAATCAACTAGTATATTCAAGATTTATAAGTAAATGTGTTTTTTTTTTTACTTTACTTGAGTTACAAGTTTTTATTCACAAATGCACTAGTTAAGTTGTACATTTCAAGAATTTGACTTATAAAATGTGTGGAAAGATTTTTGAATAATAATATTTAAATTATTGTATATTAAATTATTAATATTTTAATAATATATTATTAAAGTAAATATAATTTTTTTAATTACTTACCTGTATTGTTACCAATAATAATAATTCGATATTCTCCTGACGGCCAATCAAAATGATATTTTGATATTTTAAATAGGTAAAAAAAAACATCTATCTATTGTACTTATTTGTAATTTGTGAGATTTAATTGATATTAATTTTCTAAAATTTTCTTATGTAATACTTATTTAATTTATATTAATTTTCTTATGTAATACTTATTTATAATTTTTTGAATCGTTTTTTAAAATTTTGAGGTTTTTTATGTAATTTTTTTATAAACAAATAATCAAATTTAATATTTATTATGTAGGATTAATATTGCATCATTTTTGAATATTAAACAGAAACATGCACCACAAAAAATTAGAATACCATATATTTTTACACAAATATTTAAAAGACAAAATGTTCTTCATTACTTTTGATAGAATCAATACAGTTTCCCACCGCCCAACTCATGTAAACTACTTTTAATTTTATTAAAAAAAATTTATCATAGTAATATTTGTGTGCAAACATACCAAGCAACAAGTGAAACAATTATACAGCACATGGGAGTAAATTCTCTGAACATATCAATAACTTCATATAAATTTTTTCTTTTTATTATTTTAATATAATATAAATTTTTTCTATATATTTTTTAAAAATAAATAATCTTCATAAAATTTGAATTCTCAACGTTCGAGGATCCACTATCTTATTACATAGTTTTTTTGTTTTTTTTAATGGAGAACTGAACGCTCGATTAAAACTCAGGCAGTACAACAAAAGTACAACACCAAAAGCCAAAAGGGGGATATTATTACATCCACATTCATTTGTTTGCACTTTAATTTGTACATATTTGACAAAATTCTCCAAATTCTTGTGCTGCTCCATGCTTTTGTATATATAAAAATTGCATTTGATCAAGAATTTCGTCCAGTACAGGGGTTCCAACATGTGGGTACCCCAATGACAACTCCATTAAGCTTCATCTGATCCGCCGTTGATGCTCTCATCTGAAACCCACAAGAACTCACCTTCCTCCCTGTCATCGCCGCCACTGGTTTTGTTTTAGAAGATGAGCATCTCATAAGAACCTTCACCTCAAAATTTATCACTCCGTTAGGCCAACCTTCCCCATCTCTTAATCTGTAGCTCAAAACCTTAGAACAGTCCTCCACCATGCCACTCCCTCCTCCGCCAAGAAAATCCGACACCGCAATCCTCGCCACACCGACGTTCTTTACCACTCCCATTGCCGTCTTGTGCTTCACCTCGAATGTTATCGATCTCGTGTGCACTGCCATATCTACCAAGAACTTGTCGTTCCACAAGAACTGGCTAGTTGTAGCCGACACCATGCCCGTGGCGAAGCTGTTGATGGACTCCGCTCGAACGACGACATACACGTTGTTGGTCACGGGAGTCCGATCGACACGGAGGTTATCAGCAGATAAAACGGTGACCTCTAGGGTTAGAGATGAGGCTTGTGCGTGCATGATGAGATTAATGGATGAAAGTAAAGGATTCAATAAACAAGACTTGGGATTTGTTTGGAGCTGAGGTTGAGAAGGGAAGAGGATATAAAGGGAGATGAGGATGCGCAGGAAAAGAGAGAGAAACAAAGAGGTTGTTTCGCCGTGCATGCGAAGTGCTAACCTTATGACTTCTGATAGACTGAAAGTCTGAAAAAGATTGACGAGTGGAAGGTAAGGATGACGCGTCACGCGTGAGTTGACTCCGAATTCTTCTGATGTTGTTGGACTGTCCATGGTTTCCAATATGGAATCTCTATGGAAAAATTTCACTTATGACCATCTGACCATATTTAATAGAAAAAAAATTCAAAATTATTTCTATGAGAAATAGCATCTTTTATACACTGCATAATTATGAGAGGTGAGAGTTCGCCTAAAAAGAAAAGTAGAATTGAAATCCACATGGCAAGGCTATCATCAAAACTCGATAGTTTGCCTAGATTTAATTATATTTATTGTCTCACTTATTTAACGAAGGATTATCCCACTGGCTTAATGAGGGACTTGAACCTAATTAGTTTTCTACTTGTTCAATGAGGAAGTCAATTTAAAAAGAATGATACCCCACAATGTAAGATTTGGGAGAAATTGTGACTCACAAGTGAGTTAAACAAACCTTAGCCGAGTAGACTCTTACACGTAAATGGCTAGGGTAATCTTATCTTTTAGATAAGCATAGTGTGTTTTAGCTCATGATTTCATGTCAAAGGCATAAGGAGGATATAACAGAGGTGATCATGTATATTGTGATTAAAAAAGGCATATAGTTGTATGTATTTTGTCCCTTGAGATGTAATAATGTGATTAACCGTGTATCATTATGAATATTGATTATCAGATAGAATTTCATGAATTTATACCATTGATAATGGAGAATGTAATTATGTGTTTAAATATGTGAATTTGATTTAAGTATAATAATGTTTTCCACTTGCATTTAAATTGATTGACATGCATTAGTATAAGTTAGAAATACCTTAATTATTGAGTGGTTGTACTCACTACTTTATCTTTAACATTACAAGAGCTAACTCATTGGGTCATGACCGAGGGAAATAGACTGAGGCTTAGGACTTTAATCCTAAATCTATAGGCATCTTTATTTTAAGTATTATATGTGTATATTTATTAATGACATTGCCAACTAGGAGTTTATATGTACATTTACTTGTATTATGTGTTGTTTTTTAGTTAAATTGTGTATTTTAGGCCCTAAGTTGAGTATATATGCAAATCGTAAAATCTAAAAAGAGTCAAAATATTACTACAAGTAAAGGATGGGTATGACATGTGATTGAGGATGATTAATTGATGATTATGTGATTGAAACTCTCCTTTTTATTTTTGAAATTAAGGGATTGAACATTGAAAATGTGTTGCATTGAAAATGAGTCTTCAATAGGCACAAAGGAGTAGCTAAAAAGGAGATATAGATATGTAACACATATACCAGTAAGAATGACATAACTAGTATCAAGTGGTTAACGGAACCCTTTTTTACATCTAAATTGAGGGAAGAATAATTCCAACTAAAAGAAGCCATAAGGTTAGAGGCAACGCTCGACTAGCTGGTAACTTAGTCAAGAGAGATTCTTGGGTGGGAATTTTGATGATGGAGGTGTCACTGATCTTCAGACTTGAGAGGTTGGGAAGCTTAAGTACGTCATCTGTGCTTATTGAGGACTTGTATGATAATGGGTGAGATGAGAATTTCCCCGAGTGAAATTTTCCCACTCGCTCAAGTTAGATTCTATTGGTGTAGGTTTAAAATAAAGGTGTCGTTGATGTTCTACACGTTTACCAAATGTAACGGACAATAGAGCAGTCAATTAGGTTAAGCCAGAAAAATCAAAGAGGAAACTTCTTTGAGGTGTAAAGTGACAAATCGAGCTTAAAAGGGTCGGCCCTTTTAAGCTTGAAAATAAAAGGGTCAACCCTTCATGTAACATTCCAAATTTTTAATCCTCGAATTATTAAGAGATTAATTAAGTTTAATGATATGAATTGAGTGATTTGACATCATGTGTGTCTAAGGAGGTCTAATGAATGTAATTGGTTATGTTTTCAACCCTAGTTATAAGTCCAAAGTGAAGACAAACCTAGGTATTGAAAAGAGAGATGGAAAATGTGAAGAAAGGTCTCTATGCCACATACTGCAGTGAGCAGCACACTTATCATGGCGCACAAATGACTGAATTCATTCTCTTCCACATTTATAAAGTGTTTAATTAAGGTTTGATAATGTAAGATAATTTTCTGTTCATATAGACTATGGGTCTGAATTCATTGACTCAAAGGAGTTAATATGAGTATATTTGAGTATATAACCCTAAAAATAATGAGTTTTGATATCTTTGATTGTTGGATCTCATTAATATCTGCACTTAGTAACTATAATGGTTGTTGGAAGAATAGAAATGCTGTTAATGGGAATTTAATAGCTCATTCATATTAATGGGAACTAAAAGAGAGTTAATAAACTAAATATGTAAACATAAACATGAAAAATATGGGCATTTGGGTAGTCTAGAAGTGAAAGATACGAGTTGAAAATGTGTGTTTGACATTGTTGATAAAGTTTAAAATTGGTTAATTGTAAATTGAGCTCTTGAACACCATTTTTGCTTGGAAAGTCAAGCTTAGAAGCTTAATATTAAGGGGTAAATCTTTAATCTCTCAAAGGTTTAAAGTAACCTGAAAAATCCTATTTTAGGTAGTTATATGTTGATTACAACACAATGTGAAATGTGTGTTTAACTTGTGAATTGTGACTTGTGAATGCATGTAAAATGCTATAAAACTTTGTATTTACATAATTGCAATCGTAATGGGATGTAAAATTGAATAGTTGATGATGAGTTTGATAAAGAGGAATGTGTTGAGTTTGAAAGTAGTGGATTTATGTGATAAATGTGAAAATAAGTAACGATGCTCACTTGGGTAATGCACAACCGTAAGCCAAATGCTGATTTGATAATGAATAAATGAGATGTAAAAAATGAGTGAGCATCGTACATGGCATAATCAATAGGTGAGAGTTCGCATAAGGATAGGAGTAGAAAAAATTCATAAGGCATTTTGGCTATCCTCCAGTGTATGGGGGTATAGCCTTATCTCATAATTTATTGAAGAACTGTCTCATAGTTTGTCAAGAGACTAGAACCTAACTATCTCAACCAATTTATCAAAGAAATTAGTCTAGGAAATACGAGACCTTAGAGATTCAAGAGTAGGGGAAGCTATGGTCCGAGAGTGAGTTATGTGATATTTGGCGGGTCACACCTCACAGTTGGTGAGCTTGCATAGTCCATTCACATGGACAGAATCCTATTTAGTGTTATAGCCTACGGTTTCAATCAGAGAAAATAAGAGAGTATAAAGATGATCGATCATTGCCTATGTGATTAAACAACATGTCACTTAATCAAGATGTGGCAAGTCATATTGATATCGAGTCATAGTTATATGTTTGAATGTCTTATAGTTATGTACCATGTGATTTCACAGTAGTGAAATAATTGAGACATAATGTGTTGTGATTCTTGTAAAACTATTTGTTAAGGCATGTTTTTCTTTTTTAAGAAAATCCACTTTCCATACTTTTATGTTTTTGTCAATTGATATACAACTGCATAGGGTAGATTTACCTTGGTTATTAAGTGGCTAGACTTACCCCCTCTTCTTTAACATTTTACAGGCTCTAACTCTTGTGCAGAGAGGGATAAAGCTTAGGAGGCTTAAGAATTAGTGGATTCCTATTGTATGCCTCTATGTTTAGCTATTTCTTTTGTGTAATAGATTTACAGTGCCAATTCTAGGATGCATTTTAAGTATACTTGCACCATAGAATTGCCTATAATATCTGGATTGTATTTTGGGCCCTGAATAGTTGTGTATGTTGAGTTATTTATATTAATAAGGCCAAATACTTGTGTAAATATAAAAAAGTTATTTTAAGTATGATATGAATGTTTTCGAATGCAATGTAATAAATTAACTCCTCCTTCTATTTTTGGTATTAAAGGGGTTGAGAAGTAATTTTGTGCTATACTGGTATTTGAATGCATGTAGTGCATTGTACTAATAGTCTTAGGTTCAATAAATATGATGTGGGTGTTAGGAATGGCTTTTGATACTTGTTTTGAGTTTTGGACACCCTTTTTGACTGTGAAAGTTGTAAAAGTGGTAAAATGTGTTTAGGTACCCAACTTTCTAGCGTGATTTATTTTGAAAGTGAACCCATACTATTAGCTAGATTATAAAAATAGTTTCCCGTTAACACCTAAATCATGTCATTTGAACGTCGAAAAGAGAATTAAGGCATGTGGAAGTTACTCAATTCTACTGTTAAGAAAACGTGCAACATGCTGCAACACATAGAGGACAACAAGCCATGGTGCAGAGTACACCAACCGTGGCTCATTTTTTTATTTTCAGCACGTTGAAATTTTTCAACTATTTTCAACTCCTTTACTCCTCCAAGGTATCTTACACTTCTATAACTTGATTTTTACTCTGATTAAAGAATTGATGAATGTTTTTAACTCAAATTAAATTATGAAAATTTGGGATCCTTTTTTTTAAATTGATAATTGCCTTATAGGGTCAGGATTGGCCTATATATATATTTTAAGTTTAATATAAAAAATAAATACTACACACTAAAAGTAAAAGAATTTAAAAACTAAAAACCCTAACTTGCCTCCCTTATAATCATTTGATTTCTGTCATTCATGTTCCTTGCATGGTTTAGAGTTGAATGATAACTTATTATATGTTATTGATTTACTTTAAATATTTTTGCACGCTTTAAATATATTGAAATTATATTTTTAGTTTATTATTTATTGCAAATAATAATGATGAAGAAGGAATAAATGAAAAGCTTAATATATTTGTCATTGGCAAGTAATTACTTAATATTATGTGTACTAACTTTTTTAAAATTTTAAATATGTTTTTTAGACTTTTAAATTAAAAAATAACACACGTACGCACGCACGCACGCACGCGCACGCACGCGCACATACACACGGTTGGCCCTTCATCCTTGAGAATCAGGGTCAGGTTGGCTAAAATAGAACCCTAAAATATAATCAGGCTTAATAAAGCTAACCTATTTAGACCCTGGCACTTCAAGGGCAACTCTTTAAAATTAGACTAGCCTTAGTTAACAGCTCAAACAAATAGTTTATTTGTTCTTATAGTGAGAGATAATATTGTCATTTAATTATAAATTTTAATTTCAAATTAATATCCCTCCCTCACAATGATATATCAATATTTTTTGAAGTTTTTGCTTTTATTAAGTACTGTCAGAGGATCGTGAGTGAAATTTTCCCAATCTCTATTTTTGCGCGTGCTGTGTGTCATGAGCCCCCCCCCCACGCGCTCTTCTCACTAAAATAATTTGGTCGCATTGATGTAAATTAAATAACAAGGGTAGGGGTTCTTTCGGTCTGTCTGTTGTAACTTGGTTATTGTTATTATTCCTTCGTGGAAAATTGATCCACAGGTCTTTATGTTTTTTTAATAGTAAATATGGATTTTGTAATTGATTTTGTTTGATCAATTTGACTCTTATAATTTGATTCGTTAAATCTGTTAAATCTTGAAAATCTATTCAGCAAGTAATAGATCTAACAAATCAAACTATAAAACATCAATCCGAACCAAATAAATCACATAAATATTTTATGTAAAATATAAAAATAAGTACATTATTAAATTTATTATCACTATTTTGTACAATATTTTATGGAATTATTATCATTATTAAATTTTATTCTACTTTTTATTTTGTAAAATATAAAAATATGTACATTAAAAGAAAACTAGAAAAGACAGCTAAGCGTGGATTAATTACTTTAAATCACAAAAATATTTTATGTACTTAAAAAATAGGTACCTTATCCAATCTGATAATAATTCAGAAATATTCTTAAAATATTCTAAAATAATATTTATCAATTTCAATTTATAATAAAGCATAACTTATTTACCAATCTACCCTCATTATAAATAGATCCCTAATTTTTCTAAATATCTTGATGGTTTCACAAATCCCTCGTATGTATAGTTCATATTATATTATTTTTATAATTTGGTGAAAATTTTCAAAATTATATTGAAATATGATGTTTACATATTTTAGCCAATATTTGAGGAATTCCATAAAATAAAAAGATTTTTATCAATGGGGGACCCTAAAGGCCATGTCGGGCAAAGGAGACATGAATACATACAAGGAGAGCTTGTGGTGATCTTGGTCTTTTTGGGAAACACAACGAATGAGGGAGAAGAAATTATTATTATTTTTTTCTTCCCCAGTATTATTCATTTTTCAATGACGTATAATTTTGAGATTGCCCGTGCTTGTCTCAAGTGGAAAAAACATTTAATCATATCATATATAAAGGTTGAGCTTCAGAAGTCAAAGATTGACTTCTTTTTGTTTTTTTTTTAAGAAATTTAGGCAGAAAACTCTATAAAAACTGCAAAATGATTCATAGAAAAAGATATAATGAAAAGTGACAAACTTATATAATTAATCTTATATACTTAATGTGTTTGTTTACAATTAAATCAAGACATGTAAATCTTTTATAAAATATTTAGTCTATAATAAATTCTTGTCATTAATTTTATTAACAAATTAAAATTCACTTATCATCATTTGATTCAATATAAGTATATTAAGTATATAAGCCAAATACATAAGTCTTACTATAATAAAAATGCCTTTGAAGAATTATTTTCAATTAAGCCGATAAGATTCAAATTTTATAAGTTAAATAGCCATATAAAAAAAATTAGAAACAAGACAAGGTCTTAGCACCCTTAATTAACATGCTTGTTATGAGTTACCAACAAAAGAATCGACGAGTTATGAACCATTTTATCATGTGGCGTCAACTAAAAGGTGAGAGATAATTGACTTTTAAGATAAAATTGTTGGTGGAAGGTGTGGTTGGAATGATAAGAAAGTGCTAACATCACGTGAGATGAAATAGTCATGAAAAATAGGTAGGAAGGTCGCTAAAAAGCAACTCAAGTGATATAAACGATCCTAGACCAAGAAATGAAAAATCCTGGCAGCAATATGAGACTAATGTGACCCTCAACCATGACCTTGAGGGATCACATTTTCCATATCACTATCTTAGAAGACTCGATTTCTCAGCTTGATAGCTTATTAATTTGTTGCCTCTCTCATGCAGAACTCGATGCAATATGCAGAGCGCAAGATGAGAATAGGGAAAAGCCAGATTATTACTATTCCAGCGGTCGTGCTGAATTTACCTCCAAATGATGTCAACCCATCCTATCCAATTCTATTCACACGCAACAAAGCATCCCCCCCCCCCTCCCTTCTTTGTTATCTAATCGAATGGATTCCAATCAAACCAAAAGCTTCAGTATTTCAACCAAACCGGGATCCCAGCAGCGACTCCGGTCAAAGCGTTGCTGCTAATGCAGACAGGCATGCCTTTCACCGGCTGTGAAGCTGCTGCCAGAGAACATTCCGATGCCTTCACCCTCACGGAAACATTAAGAATCCCGTTTCTTCTCACTTTACAGTCCCACATCCTATAGCTCAAGAAATGCAGTTCATTCTCCGGTACATACCCTTCAATGAAGTCCGACACCGGCACTCTTGCCGTCCCTATGCTCTTAATTCCAGTCAAGGTTCTGCACTTAACCTCAGCCAGTATAAAGCTCGCATGCAGCGGCACTTCGACCACAAGTTTCTCCTTCCATGACGGGCAGCTCCCACCCTCTGTGTTCATTTTTGTCTCAAAGGCAGCGCAACAGTCGGCTCGAACTGACACGAATGCCTTCTTCGTCAAGGGCTTTCCATTGATTCTGAGGTCTTCCGCTGATAAAATGGTGATCTCTACAATGCGTGACATCGCAGCTGGCGTGCGAGATTAGTTTATTAATTATCCCCAAAATGTTGAAAACAATTCCTGGATTTTGAAACATTAATTCAGAGGAAGTTTATATACCGTAATTGGAGGAAACCAGAGAGAAGCAGGAGAGAAACAGAGAGGTGATTTCTTTCGGTTGATTATATAATTTCCTTTTAATATCAAACAAAACTTAAAAATCCTTTGGAATTTTTTAGCCGTGCGCGATTTGGGAGAGCAAGTCCGATGCCTCACTTGGTCAAATTATTTTTAATTCCTCTTCCTTTTTTTCCCCTTATTTTTAATATTTTTTTAAAAAATGACGTCCTCAATAATTATTTTAAAGTTGACATATTTTCTATCTTTATATATGCTATATAATAAAAAGTCATCTGTCCTATCAAAGTCAGAAGATAAGAAGTGGAAGACTAGGAAGAGAAAAGTGGAAGAAAGGAAAAATATTTTTTGTTTTTTATTTATTTTTATAACATTGCCATAATAATTACGAAGTATTTTCTTTACTTTTTGCATATGGAAAAGAAGTAATCCATTGGCCACAAAGACTAACATCGCTCAAAGGACAGAGTAGTTTTTATTGAAATTTAATCCATATAGAAGGGTTAGGAATTGAAATAATAATAAGTATGTAAATAAAATATGAATTTCTGTGTATAATTATATTTTAATATCAATCTTTTCACATATAAGAATATGAAAAATGTCTATAAAAAAAAGAATATGAAAAGTGAATGTAATTAATTTAAAAATTGACCGAAGAAAGTGTCATACGTGATCGATATGAGGGCGTTTCGAAGAAGACAAGTGTACCTTGGAAAGTTACGGAGGAAATTTCATATTCCGCAGGGCAAAATTAGATTTCACTCGTTGAGTTTTTTAATAATAATATAGTCAACGCGTCGTATTTTTTCCCCTTTTTTAGGCGAGATAATCAACGCATTGTACGTTCATTAGGAACGCGTGTTTGAGAATATGAATCCTATTTTATAAATTGGACCAACCCAGCCAGCTATATTGCTTTTGAGAAATGACTGGCTTTTGAAGGTTGAAACTTGAAATTGACTTGAAAAGTACTGGGTAATTTAAAAAAGGACGAAGCTGAGATCCAGTTCTTGTACGTTGTACATCCTGTTTTCTAATTATCCGACGCCGGCTGCTTTTTCTTGCCAATTCATGTTTTTTGGTTTTCTTTTCATCACCAACCCCGTTGAATTCAAAACCTCGAGACAAGTTGAAGTAATTAGTGGGATAGAATCCACATATCCTCTCCCCAGGGGTGAGTATTAAGTTCAACTTTTCACTCCATGCATAGTTAGTGCTTTTTTTTATAAAAAAAAAACATATTTGATAATGAAAAAGTTAACACTGATTCTATGACACATCACCTTGAATTTCCCTTGTACTTCTATGATTTCTCCTTCTATGGAAGTATAGTACAGTAAGTTTTTCTTTTAAAGGAAGACAGCTATGATGGTGTTTCTTCCAACAATTTACTGTAATAACAATGTTTGACATGCCAACATTGTTTATTTACCTCACTTATCTACCAGATTTCAGTATATGGCGGTCACTGGGACTGAGAGATTAATAAGATGATACAATCCTTGTCTTTCTCCATTCCAGTAATTATTTGGTTTGCAATGGCATAAACATAGAATGTCATGGCATTCTAGCTCTGATACAATCATCAATAGCACCAGAAACTCTAAGCATACAAGATTTGTAAACTCGTAATTAAATATAAAAATCTTGTATGGGGAACTATTACATAAAACATTGCCATCTCAGGTATGTTACATCATACCAGAAAACTAATGGTTCATAACTTGGCAACTGGGTAGCTATAGAAGGTAGCGCGGGCTTTATAGATTAGCTTCTCAGTTTTCTTGAACTTAAACTCAAGTACAACTACTGTCAAATTTCGTCCACTCTTCACCACAGAAGCATCAGCTATCACCTCTGCCTGTAAAAATAGAGCATGGCCACAAAGTGAAGGATATAACCAGGTAATCAGAGTCTTCATACGAACATGGTATTTTTAACCAGCCACCATAAGCAACAATGACCGCATATAAATTTTAGCCGGCTCAAAGGAAAAATTGTACTGCTCATCCAACAACTAGCATTGCAACTAATCATAACTTGCTGAAAAAGGAAGCACCGTTTCAATACTTTTAGCTTTAGAGTTCAAAGTCACAGGAACAACGAGTTTGTAATTATAACTACAAAAAAATTCAGTCTTCCAGCCAAAGGCAGTGTTTTTAAAATCCTACTGGTTAAAAAGAAGAAGAAGAAGAGGAGGAATGGAAAGAAAGAAAGAACAGGACAAAACTTGGCTAAAGTTCTATGTCGGTGTTTACGGTTTACAATATTTTTTTTTCAACAAAGACGTAACATATGAAGAAAAATCTTGAAAATACCTAACCATATAGTGTTAGTTGTAAGATATATGCGTTCGTCGTGTTCTCAATAGAAAAAACTTATAACATACACCTTAAAAACTCCATCAAAATGTCTTTTTTTTTTTCAATGGAAGCTGGAAATTCTATTAGAATTTCAAAAGAAGATCAACAAAGTAACAACCTGACATCCGTCATCATCTTCCACCTGTTGATAAACAAGACAGGGAGGATGCTTAAAGATACAAAAATTACCATCTAAACTATGTGAACGCATCAATAGAAGCTTAACGCCCAGAACGTTTAGCTTTGTTAGCCTATTGTCCTCAGTAATTGTAGTGGATGATGCTAAATAACGTTATTTATAATTGGTAGGAACTCTGGCATATCACCTTGACATTGAAACTAAAATGCATTGTTTTTCTGAAGAATTAAGAGCTTATTTGAAACTATTTTTACTTTTTTATTTTGAGAATTGATTTTTTATATAACATGTTTTAAAAATAAAAAATAATAAAAATAAGATGTTTTTTTAATTCTTTAATAATAATCTTATAACACTTAAAACATATTTTTATTTTTCTATTCTTCAAAATAATATTTTACTTTTTTTAAATATTTTTAAAAATATGTTATCAAACATATTTTTTTATTTTTTTTATTTTGAAGAATAGAAAACCCTTTTCAAAGCAAGTTGCCATGGAGGTCCTAAATTCCCCCAGAAAAAAAAGCGACAAAATCCGAGGGGCTGTCAATTCGCAGAACATGCAAAGAAAAGCATTGTGTGACGAGCAGAAGAATCAAAATTCAAAACAGACTCACATTGACTGGAGCACCAGAGAGGTAAGACATGCTCAGTTCCCCGAGAAAAATGTGCTTATCCTCAGCTACAACAGTTCTAGCACAAGCTATAGATATCAATTCGACCACAGATGCAAGACCCCCTCCATGTAGTGTTTCAAAATAATTCTGCAATTCCAGACATGATGAAAAAACTGGTACCCATTTCTGTTTGGTACCCTAATATAAATCTTGAACTGGAAAAATCACTTCAGCTCTTGTCAGAGGAAGAGGGGTGAAAATTCTAAAATGAAAACAAAATTGCAGCCTCGCAACTGATTGCATGTTATATACATCCTAGAATTTTTTATCCCTCCAAATTCCGCTAACACAAAGAAATCAACGGCCAGGAACTATAATTATATTGCGATTAACAGAAATTTCGATGAACCCTCAAGAAACCCATCTCTTGCGAATTTCTAAGCTACCTAGCAGAAGATCAAGACTAACTATAGCAGCAAAGTAAAAGGCACGAGGATATAAGAGATTACAGAGATAGGAGGTTCGACGGAAACTGTGCAAATGATTCGACCCCGTTGGACTCGTTCGACGTTAAGGAAATTGCGAATGAATGCAGAAAAGAAGCCATTGGCATGGGAAGTTTGAGGAAGGGATTCGTTAATTCCCCAAATTTGAAGGGCAGCTAGAGTCTTAGAAGCGTGAAGAGGGTCAACTTCCCGTGGAAGTTTCGGGGCCGTCGAGTAAGAGAGTGTGTGAGGCTGAGGAAGAGTAGTAGAGGGTTTCGCTGCCATTGCCGCCTTGATTGCGCCTGTCGCTCAGCTTCCAAGTTCCAGCGGACTTAGCTAATCCGAGTTTTTTTTTTAAAAAAAAAAATATATATATATATATATATAAAAGTCAAATTTATATAAAGATGAAACGATTAGTATATTAAAAAACCTAACCCATTGTCACATAAAAACCAAATGAAAACTCACAAAGATAAGTCCAATAGTTGACATAATAACGTGATCAACACTATCACAAAGAAGTTGCCAAACAAAACCAGGATAAACTCATCTCATAAGGATTTTTTATAGCGGCATGTGATCTTAAACAACGAGAAGATGTGTTAATAAGGACTCTAGTATCTCTACTGACATTGATTTGAGCTGATTCTTGATTAGTTAATCTAAAAGCTGAACAAAGGATTGATACCCACAATAGTGTGTAGATGAAGAGAGGAAAAAATGTTGGAAGAGGTCATAAGTTGACTGGCACACAAAAAAAACAAATGACTCTACCCGCAGCTAACAAGGTTAGCCATTGAGTTCTTTCATTATGATGAAAGATGCATGCAGAAAAAGAAAATTGCAGAAGGCAAGTTATGGAAATTAGTGCAAGTCCTTCGCATCTATGTGAAACCAAAGATGAGCCTCATTGTAGAGAGTTTGTAGATGGTATGCGGTAGCCGGTAGGCACTCGGAATAGAGATGAAGTAAGATGAAAAATATATTAAATTGACTAGAGTAAGATGTCACTCTAATGAACTCAATAACCAAATAGAAGAACCTCCATGGGAAAATAATATCCTGCTACTATAGAAGCTAGGATATACATAATCAGAAATTACAACTAAATACATCAAATAATGCAGAATAATAGTCTAAAAATCAGAAAATAACTGACTGATACATTGGTACCTCACTAACAAAAGTGAAGGTCCTATTATTCAGCAACTAATAGCAAAATAGAACAATATATATATATATATATATAATAGTAAAATAAGAAGCATAACTACAATTATGACAAGTGTTCATTTTTCCCATTCCTGCAATTAATTTATAGTAAGCACATCATGCCATAAATTGCAACTAATGCAGTTGGTTGTAAACTAGTTATGCATGAGTATGAATAACTCATCAATCAATTAATATATTGGTGAACTTTAAAGTTAACTTTTCTTTTAATAATTCAACTCACCCCGTGAGAAGAAATCCATAAAATGCCCCATGTTGAAATCACCCCATACATACACCACTAGCACCCACATGCAAGTCTCTTTTTCAAAAATTTAGTAAAAAAACTTGAAAATAAATATAAAAATTAAATCCTACGTGGTTGCTTTGGCCATATCTCCTATTCTCCTTGTGAGTCATTTTTTCTCTTTTTATGCTAATTGTTGGCCTAATTTTCATGAGGGGTATCGAAATGTTGCGACCCTTAATGTGTGTACCAAGCGTGTCAAAGAAGCATGTCCTCAAAGAGAGTGAGTTGGATCAAATAATTAAGCAAGTTCTGTAGCATTTTATAGAATTTAACCCCTAATTATATGAGCAAATAAGATTGATTAAGTAAATTATTGAGAACTAACAAGTGTTATGGGTTGTGATTTCAATCCTAGGATTGAGTCCAGAGTGAAGTCAGACCTCCCAGAAGTCAAAAGGTGAGAAAAATAAAGAAAAAGACTCTGTGTCACATGCCACGACGCACGAGCCATTAGAATGCCAAAGTTCCCTCTTTGTACCACCATGGGCCACGACACACAGTTGCTATTCTGCAGACTTAAGAGCGATATCAGACATGAAAAAGAGAAAGGAAACAAAGAAGAACGAAGAGGAACCAGAGAGCTCTATTAAGGCATTACAAGTTTGAAAGATTAAGAGCAATTTGAAGCTTGTTAACATTAAAGGTAAGTCTCATAAGCCTTCCACTTCCTTCCTTTTCCATTTTTCTTACATATGGAAGTTAGGGTTTATTAAAAAAGATGATTTTCAATCCATGGAGGCTATGGGTCCAAACTCATTGACTTAAATAGAGTTAATAAGAGTTTTGTAAATTATTTAAACCTATCATTAATGCATTGGAAGTTTTGGTAGTTAAAGGGTAATAAATACCCAAAATTCTACCATTAATAAGGTAATTGGAGTAATGTGAAGCTATTAATGGCTAGTTTGGATTTCATTGAAGTTAATATGAGTTAAAGGAAGTTAATAAATTCTATGGGTACCTTTATTTATGAGGACATTGAATTATGAGAGTATTAAAGTGTAAGGATAGATATTGAACATTATCTAAAAAGGGATATTGTGATTAAATGTAGAGTGATCATATTTGGCACCATTCAAGCTTTGTGAAAGCTTTGGAAGTGGGTAATTGAGAGGTAAACTTTTGACTTTTAAAGGTTTAAGGTAACGGGGAAATTCTTTCTTGTGCTTTTACATGCTAATTGATTTATTGATTTATGTGTTATAATTGAAGTGCATGAAAATTATTTGAAATGCAAGTATGACAAAGTATTTGAAAATCAAATATTATGATTTTGTGGAGTTCAATTATATGATTCATGTGAAGTTCTATGAATTAGTGTCAGTAAAGTTCAATGACATGGTTTATGTGGAGTTCTATGAATGTTATAAGTTGGTGTTCAATGATTGTGTGAAATGTAGAGTTCCATGAATGTTTGTAAATGGAGTTCAATTACGTAATGTATTGTAGAATTTGATGACATATTATTATGTGCTTTTATGATGAACATGTATATTGCTAGTACGATAAGAATATTAAGTATGCTTGCATAATGATTACTTGCATGCTATGAGAAATTGCATTTTTATCCACGGCATGATCATGAGCGATAAGAGGTTGCCTAGGAAGAGGAGTAGTGAGTTTGAAATCCACGTGATAAGGCTACCATTGAGCTTGATGGTTTTCCTATGTCTTAATATTTTATTGCCTTGCTTGTTGTACAAGGAACTCTAACCTAACTAGTTTTCTACTTATTCAACAAGGAAGCTAGTTTAGGAAAGATGACACCCTAATGTGTGAGATTAGGAGAAATCGTGACCTATAAATGAGTTAGGCAATCTTAAATGGGTAATTTCTCATGGGTAAGTGGCTAAGATAGTCTCATCTCTTAAACTATCCCAGTGTGTAATAGCCCACAGTTTCATGTTGGAGGCATAAGGAGAATATAAGAGAAGTGTGATCATGTATGTTAAGATAAAAAGGGCACATGATTATATGTATTGTATCCTTTGAAATGAAATTATGCGATTAACTTTGTAATATTGTGAAAATTGATTATTATATTGTGATTTCATGATTTTATGTTAGTGATGATGGAAAATGCAAATATATGTTCTTAAACATGCCAAATTGATGAGTATGACAATGAATTGCCACTGACATTTAAATTAATTGACATACATTAATATAAGTTTGATAGATCTTAGTTATTAAGTGGTTGTATTCACCATTTTCTCTTTAATATTATAGGAGCTACTTCATTGGCACAAGACTAAGGGAAATAGTTTGAGGCATAGGATTATTATCCTATATGTAGGCTTCATTTTTTTTTTAGTTATTATGTGTATAATTTTGCATGATCTTGCCAACTAGGAAAATACATATTATTGGTCTACTTGCACTATTAAATTATTGAATTAAATTATGTATTTTACGCCTTAGGATGTATATGTATTGATTGTGAAATCTAAAATAAGGCTAAAATACTTGTGTAAGTAGGAAGTGAGTGAAATTATGATTATTGTGGAATGATATGATGATTTGTAAATTTAAGGCTTCCCCTTCTGTTTTTGTAATTAAAGGGTTAAGTATTAAAAATATGTTATATATAATGCTTATAAGATGTGATGTATTGCACAGGTCTGTTATTGTTTATTGAGTATGATTTAGGTTATAAATTAGGCTCTTGGCAGTTGAAATGTGAATTGGGCACCTAAGTTGTGTAATAAGATTGAAAAGGAGTGAGTTTTGAAATGGGTGTCCAACTTTTGATTGAAAAATAATATGATTGTGAAATTAATACTATTAGCTAAAGTTAGGAGAAATCTCTCAATAAACATCTAGATCACCTCAATCAGGCAATGTACGAAGACACAAGGCATGTCAAAAGTTCACCTTATTGTTGTTAAATGACAGCAGTAATGCTATAAAAAATGTGTAATACATCGCGACGTATGGCTCTTGAGCCGTAGCGTATGGCACAAAGACATATGTGTTGCAACACACCTCTACTTTTCTACACTACGTTACTATTTTCAATTATATTGCAAATACTTTAATTTTTTTTAGATTTTCATGCTTCCATATACTATTTACATTTTGATTTGGACTTATAAAGATGTTTTGACTTGCTGGAAAAACTTTAAAAACTTGGGGTCCTATTTTGTAAATTTTATAAACTTGATAATCTTATTTGAGTTAATCCCCTGATTACCTAGAATTCAAAGTTAATTAGAGATTAGTAAAGGAGACCTTATAAGTTCTCAATGTCCTTTCAATCCAGATATTTGGTGGCAAAAAGACAATCAATAAGAGCATGTGGTTCAAGTTCTACTTTCATAATTAAAGATGGTTAGTCTTCACATTTGATTCATCTCAAAATATAGTACTATTTGATTTTCTTAAAATTTTGAATCACGAGATGTAGATGTGCGTGTGAGGGAGATACTCTTCATAATTTTCACTTTATACTTTTGGTGTTAGCCATCCTTTAAAAATTAAAAAAATATTGCCCATAGCATTGCAAGACAATAACACTTTCTATCCTATGAACAAAAGAAAAAGAAGTCACACACAAGGATACTAGAGTTGTCTCAAGTGAGAAGAGTGAATTCCTCGAATGTAAATTTTACTTATTTTTTATGGGCATATTCTCTTGCATTTTGTTTTGGTATAACATTATTTCAAGTGATTACATAAAATTTCAAATGATCACTTCAATTTTAGCACATTTGTCTTTGAATCATCTTCACAAGCTATCATTATTTGAGATAACAAATGGTTCGTATTATAAGGTCTCCCTTATTATTCTCGAGTTAACTCCAATTTCAAGGAAATCAAGGAATTAACCCCAAATAAGAATTTTTAAGTTGTAACATTTACCAAAATAGGATCCCAAGTTTTCAAAGTTTTTCAATATGATAAAACATTTTTACAAATGTAAATCAGAGTGTAAATAGTATGCAAAAGTATTGGAATCCAAAAAGAGTCAAATCATTTGCATAAGAGTTGAAAATAGTGAAACAGTGTAAAAAACAGACATATGCCACAGCTTATTATACGTGTGTCATGGCACGTTACTCTCTATGCCATTCATATAATTGAACTCTAAAATATTATTCCATATAATCTCACATAAGCATGTCATTGAACTCTACAAACATAATTTCATTGAACTTCACACGAATTAAGTCATTGAACTCCATAAAAGCATATTATTTTATTTTCGAGTAATCTATGTCACATTTGCATTCTTAATAATTTTAGTCATTTCAATTATAACATGTAAATCAATTAATACAAAAAAGCACAAGAAAGATTTTACCTAGTTACCTCAAAACCTTCAAAAGGTTAAAAACCCCTCAATTACTCATTTTCAAAGCTTTCATGAAGCTTGAACAATGCCAAATATGCTCTCTCTACATTTAACCATAATGTCAATTATCAATATTCCTTTTTGAAAAGTTTTCACTATTAGTTCAACACTCTTAAAATTTAATCTCTTCATATACCAAAGTATCCATAGGGTTTATTAGATTCCTATAGCTTCTATTAACTTTATTGAACTCTCAACTTGTCATTAATGGCTTCACATTACACTAATCACCTCATGAATAATGGAATTTCATGTATTTATGGCTCCTAACTACCAAAAATGCCTAGAGCCATAAATGTTAAGTTTAAATAACCTAAACAACTCTCATTAACTCTATTTAAGTCAATGGGTTCAGACATATAGCTTATATAGACCAAAAATTATTTTTTCATCCTAACTTCTCAATTCAAGAAAAATGCAAGAGAAAGAGAGGTAAAGATCTTAAGAGTTTTACCTTTAGTATTTGGAAGCTTTAAAATACTGCTAATGTCTCAAAATCCTAAGCCCTAGCAGAGATTTCCATGAGCTCCTTATTCCCTCTTTTATTTCTCGTTGTTTTTGTTTATTTTGCGTTCTTATTTTTTGTAGAAAATGTACTATGTGTCGTGGCACGTGGTACCATATGGCACAGAGAGGGAACTCTTGCCTTTTAGTGGCTCGAAAGACACAGCATGTGACACAGAATCATTTTTCTTTATTTTTCTCACTTTTTGATGTTCGGTCTAACCTTCAAACTTAATCCAAGGGCTGAAATCACAATTCAAAACACCCGTTAACTCTCTGTAACCACACACCACATAAATTTACTTAAGTATCCTCTTTTATTCAGCTAATTTGAGGTTAAATTCTCTAAAATGTTGCCCATACCTTGTAATAAGCTTTACAATTTCAATTCCACACAACTTCTGCACTCTCAGATTAAATTCATATGTATACTCTTGGTGATTAGGGGTGGGGGTAGGTCAGGCTTTTAAAAGGGGCTTACAGCCTGGCCTACTTTAGGCCTAATCTAACCTACTTACTAAATAAGTTTAGGTTAGGTTTATGCTTTTAATTAAGCATATTAAATTAAATATGTCATGCTTATTTTTTCAAGGCCTAACCTATAAGTCTAACAAGCCGACCTATTTACACACACACAGACATATTATGTAATATATTACAAGTACATCAGTTTCACCATTTAATTTTTAATCATATATTCTTTTTTTATTATTTCTAGTTATACTTTCAATCATATTAGACTTATATATTAATCTTAATTTTATTACTTTATTGTTATATTGTATTGTAATTGGTAAGTCCTTTCAATTGTTATATATTGTAATTAATAAATTAGGTTATATATTATAATATTCATAAAGTATATTTAAGATGTCTAAAACTAAAATGCAAGACTATTGAAAAGGCTTAATTTTAAGTAAGCTTTTAAATATACTTTCAAATTAAGCTAGATTTTAAGTAGGCTCAAGCTTATGTTGTGAAAAAAATCTTATACAGGCTTCAGGTCAGGCTCATGCCTCTAATTTACCATACAAGCTAAGGCTTTTTAGCTGAAGTCTAACTTGACCTAATCTATTTCCACCCCTATTGGTGATAGATGTTATAACATAATAGTAGTCTATTTTATTTGTTTGCCTACAAATTCATTATACTATCATTATAAACTTCTTATTTGTCTTTTTTTTATAATCAAGGGCAAGCCCAAGCATACAATGAGGGGGACCATGGCCTCCCCCTGACCCCAATGGCAACTACATATGTGTGTTCATTATACTATCATTATAAACTTCTTATTTGTCTTTTTTTTATAATCAAGGGCAAGCCCAAGTATACAATGAGGGGGACCATGGTCTCCCCTTAACCCCAATGGCAACTACATGGCAACTACACGTGTGTGGGGGGGGGGGTGTATGTGTGGCATTAGGTGACCCTTCTTTTATTTTAAAAAAAAATATTCTATATCCCCACTTCATATGAATAAATTGTACATACATATGAAATTATAATTTTTTGTATGTTTATTAAAAGAGATATGAATGGTATACTATATTGGTTTATAAAATTATTGTTATTGATTTATGATGAATATTACCTTTTCATTAACAAAAAGAATCGAACTTAGTATTTACCACACTGGCATCTACTTTATTTTATTTTAATTATATATACATCTCTTCTATATTAAAAATTCATAGTTACAAAACAAAACATCTCATCTGTTTTTAAAATTTTATTTTTATCTATCTAACTATTATTTAACCATTAAGTTACATATATTTAATTGAAATATTTCTCTTTAGATAGTGGCAAATCTACATGCATGTGACTGTGAAGGTGGGCAAATGTCCCCAGTCACTTGGAAAAACTTGCGTGCTAGTGTAAGAATTTTTATACTTTGCCCTCACAGAATTTAGAATTTTGAACCCACTAAACTATCAATTTTCGTCACTTGGAAAAACTTTTCAATGTCGTACTAAAATTTAAATTTATTTCCATATTTTAAATAGAGGAGGGCAAATCTAATTATTTAATTTTATTTTGCTTAATCTTAAAGTTAAACATCTTGTATTTAAATAATAAATTTTCAAATTTTTTGTTATTTTTTTAAAAATGCCCCCACTAATTAAAGGTCCTCAATCCGCCATTGTCTTTGAACATAGATGTTTTCCTTTTTTTTTTCCCAAATGGAAAATAGATGTTTTCTAAAAATTGATTCAAAATAACCAAAAAAAAATTTAATGCATATAATTTTTAATTTTTAATGTATATTATATTAATTATCACTATAACCATTGTTAAAAGTGATATTTATTTAAAAAAAATATGTAACATTGGGTGAACCATCCACCCAATATTAAAAGTTTTCAACATCAAATGGATGGTCCACCCAATGCTGAATAAATTTATTTTTAAAAACATAGAAAAAGTTTTTTAACATTGGGTGAATGGTTCACCCAATGTTCAGCATGTTTTTTTTAAAAGAAAAATTTAAAAAAAGCTTTTAACATTAGGTCCAAGACACCCAATGAAATAGTGATTATATTGAAATTTTTTTTAATAAAAATACTTAACAACATTAGTTGTATATAGACCTGATGTTGAAAGCATGAAACAACATCGATTCCCTTTGTACTCGATATTGAAAGTTAAAAAGACATTCATTTAACATCTTTTGCCTGTGAATTGATATTGAAAGTAGGTTGTTAAACTCATTTTGCACTAGTGGATGTAATATCATCTGTATTTGTTGCAATTTCATGGCAACACCTTTGTTAACACACCCGTATTCACTAGACATCCATTATACATTTTGTACACTAACATATAAATCAATGTGTGTATGTGTAGTCATCCTCTTTATAGTTGTATTACTGTCATACATTTTCAACTATTTCAAAACATCCTTGTGACTGTTACAAGTATACATATATAACATCATCCAATAATACCAATATGACCAAAAGCATTAGAAGTCTAATAAAAAGAAAATGAACGCACGGGTGAATTATTAGTTAATTAAAATAGCAGAAAATAATTAATTTAAATCAGATAGATCCCTCAATCTGCATAACAGCTTTAATTTATGTTATCTTCCTCTTTCTACGTTGATAAGTGATTAGTGGCTTATCATGCTTAGACCCTTATCAGTAAGGCACCCTGCCCTTTTTGCTTACTCTTTTTGTATTCCATATTTAATTGATTAGATTGGTCCGTTTGAGATAGAGTAAAAGTAATACCAATAAACATTGCCATGAAAACTTGTAGCTTGTTGGTTAGCGTGCCGCACACTCAACCTGCAAATTGCAAGTTGGAATTGGCAGACCACAAAAAAAAAAAACCATTCACTTCATCAACCACGAGTCAAGATAAAGGATTCAAGAACTGAGTTGGTATTTAAGGATAAAAAAGCACCTGAAGAATTGGACACATCTTCAATCGAAGAGAAAAGGCAAACTTCCCACTGCAAGTTTACAGCGTGAGCATAAACTTCCCATTACAGTGTCTTATTTAGCATGTAAGGTGCAGTTTATATCATCTGTGTTCACAGGAAAGACAACATCTAACGAGTCTCACTCACGTAATTCTTCGCACTTGCCAAGTTACAAAGGCTTTGCTTCAGAATTTTTGTTTCCCTCTTCTAATAAATGCTGCCCGTAGATCAATTCGATACAAAGGGATGCCATCTGTAAAGATAAAATTTCCAGGCAATAGATCTTGTCCAAAGTGACGAGAAAGGGATCCTTGCCATCTATAAACCATTCTGAACCTCTAGGACATGGACAACTCAAAATGGTCATTACATTCTAACATTAGTTTCACCTTTGCTTCTATGAATGAATGGCTAATCCAAGGTCCTTGCATAACTCTTCATCAGGTTGCAAGCTACCTGGAATTGCACCAAATAATCTTCTAAAAACTTCACACCCTGAAGCTACTTGATGGAGACATGCTGATGTATCTTGCAGTTTTCTTTGCAAATATGAAGACGCAGACATACAGTCTCTAGAAGAACTCCCTGAAAATTTTCTTACAAAATGATTGTCCAACTCCACGGCCTCCAGAAACCGTTTTGTGGCAGCCTCCCATGATAGCTCATATCTCTGAGCATCAGTAAGCAGGGCAGGGTTTTCAGTAAGTGCTTCAGCTGTTGCTTTAACAAACCCATTGCCATCATCATATGTCTTACAGTTTGGAAACTGCTTGAAGAAGTCATTTGAGGGATGGTTGGCACATACAACAATTTTGCCCATTGCTAAAGCTTCTGCTGTCGTTGTGCAAACCACGTCTGTTGTGCTTGGATTCAAAAACAATTTGTAACTAGAAAACAAAAACATAACGAATTATAATTTGCATGCTCCTAGTAGCGCATTCTCTAAGAGACGAGTTTTATAATTTGTCTCTTGAAAGATACCATTGATTTGAGTTTTTCCATGTAAAAGCAACATCGTACAATTGAGAGTTTAATTTTCTTGATTTTGGGTCCGCAAAGCCCTTTAGTGAGCCAACAAAGGAAATTATTCAAACTCAAATTAGTGACAGTTTTTAAGGACCAAAATATGAATTCAGTCTTCTCCAAGAGATTTTTCATCTGACCTAGGGTCATTTATGAGTAAAATCTTAAAACAAAAGAGTTCTATAAAAAAAGAAGGGAAAGCTTAAAGAATTAATTAATATTCCAATTTAAAAATATTAAATCACCAGCTGATTACTGCTGTCTTGTCTTGGTAAGCGCATGCAAGACTGCAGTTAAAGTGAGATCTAAAGTTGAACTAATATAATTATAAAGCAAAGGCTGGGGCAAAGATGGCTTATTCCAGCATATATCTAAATGACTTTTAACTTAATATGAATAATATTAATATTGTATTTTAGCATACTTTCGTTATCCTAAATCTGGCTTAGCATGTCATTCCTTGTGTCTTGAGTAAGTTTCGAATTAACATGTAGTTTGATGTCTTGCTTTGTTGCTTAGATGTTATGACATCTATAACTGACAAATTAATTAATTCAAACTTAATCACTTTCCTTAGAATAAAAGAAACAAATTAAATCCCTTTTCTTTTCCATTGACGCATTTCAGGCACCTATTTTTCTAAACAAATTCTTTGATCTATAATCTTTTAATAAGAAATCAAAACAACGAACTGATATTTCAATAATCAGGCGAAATCAGTTGGAATGATGAAGCTTACTCATGAAATATAGGATCAACATGATCACGTGCTGGGTGAACTCTAACTATCAAGTCCAAGTTTTTCACAGCTTCTCGAACTTCATATGAATCTTCTCCACTACCAAACAAATCAACCTCAAGCCCTACTACATCCTTTTGGTGGTCAATGAGAATTTTGATCAGCTCCTTGTAGCCTTTACTCCATACCATCTTCCCAATATAGTAGGCACCTTTGTTAAAGGCAAGATCTCCATTCTGCAGTTGTTCCATCTTTTTCTTACCAATGGCAAGGCATTTGGGGTTCACTCCATGGACGTTACATATGATGGAACCACCATAGTCCTGCGTGGCAGCAGAAAGTCTAATAACCTAAAATCAAATGAATAATCAATTCCAATAGTGTACACAATGCTTTTAATTTGAGACAATTCTGACCACTAACAATAAGAATGATGTCCCATTTTTACCGGGATGGTACTCACTATAAAAGGAACTTTTACAGGGCTTATAAGTTAAAAATTTACATGTTAGCATTGGTTTCTTCTTACAAACAAGTATATCAATGAACATCAAATCATATCTCACCTGACCAGATATAAACAGCAGTGACAATTCAGATTAAAGACAACAGCTGACTGATAAAAAATCAATAACAGACAGACACAACACTTCATCTCAGACAGTAGAATACCATGAAACTGAGTCAAGCAGTAGACCTGCACATCAATCTTTTGTATACAAATGGTAATCTAAGTAGTAGAATACAACAAATAAGGGAAGCTTTAGAGTTGTGATAAAATTATTCATAAACTTTTACTTAAGATCCCCCCCCCCCAAAAAAAGAAAATAAAAAGAACTACACTTGTGGTCAAAATATTTCAAGTTAAAATGATAGTGAGGAAAGTGAGGATGATTTCTCGATGGACCAGAGGAAGCAAGACATGCCACCATCACTTTCTGTTCCTCAGCCTCATGCAATAAATGAAAAAAACTGGAAACTTTAAACTATATCAATCTGTTTAATTTGGGTGAAACAATATCTAAAAAAAATTGCATCTTCACTATTCACTTTTTAAAAAAATCATACATTTTACAGCATCACCAGACAGTTAGAAAATTCACCAACAAGATGACCATGCAATTTATATTGACATATCAAAATTAAGATACACTAGTCTTGAAATGCTAGCTTCATCTATTGTTGAAGTAAGGCCAGAATGCTAAGGCATGTAATAGGTAAATTAGTTTCCTTAACGACATAGAGATTTACCTTGTGACAGTAAATGTCAACAAGCCATTTGTTTACATGTTTGAGTAAAAATGCTTGCATTCTTCCTTCAGTCTCTCTCTTCACATATTCCACATAATTTGTGTGAATAATACCTATAACTAGCCGGAATTTATTCTTCCATCTTTTCCCATGATAAAACCACGTCAGGTGCTCAGGCTCCTCCAGAACAGCAATATCTGCCTCTTCATCAGGGATAGCTTCTGAAATATCTCCAACTCCAATGATACTTCTTTTATCTCTAGAATACTACATTATTTGTTATATCATAAATTATTACTATGTGCATGAGAAAGAGGCACCATCATTGCGAATGGAAAAAACTTATTTCTCATATAATAGATGGTAAAAATTCAATGGATAATAATCATAATCATTTCATGAGAAAAGCGTATCACTATAAATGCATCAGTAAATCAACATAGTTAATTAGGTACAACCATAAAACCCTCAATTCCACCCTACCCATCTTTACTTAAAGCCTAATCTATGAAGCATAAGGACTAAAGTAACAAATTTATCACAACCAAACATAAATGACCCTTGTTTGCCCAATTGCACAGCTTTCTATTTGTGTGAATGCCTGCAAATTTTCATTGTTCAAGGAAAATGTGATACAGTGAAAGCATTTAAGAAATGATCACCTTTCCAGGATAGAACCGTATACTGAAACAAGATGCAAACCCAATCCTCTCTTCAAGCCAACAGTGGACATATTTCTCTTGCTCTACAGGTGAAGTGAATGTAATATTATTTGGATACACTAGTCCCTGATCTTTCAAAGATATCCAAGGGATCACCAAAGTGACATCATTTTTTCCATCTTTAGAAAGATACGCAGCACGAAACAGAGGATTCACAGCAGTACCAGTCAACCATGGAAGGCTGGCAGTGGTGAAAATTGCAATATGCTGTTTCCTATCCATTAGGTCAATAGCTTTAGATATGAATTCTCATCACACTTCTGAGCTCCTTTGTATATCAAATTCACCTATGACATCTATCTTTAAAATTAATACTAGTTATGCACTAAAATCACTACATATACAAGTAACATTTAAACACAGCTTCAGGATTCGAGGTCCAAAAAAAATCACAGCTTCAGGATCAATCACATTAGCATCAGCGACTTGAATAAACATAGGATGAGAAGTTAATTCAAACTGCATGAGAAATAGGAAATTCATCCCCCTCGCCTGGTGAAGAAAGAAGGGATTTCGAAGTACAGTTCCTAAGAATACAATGAAAGAAAGAAAGAAAGAAAAGCCCTGACTCCAGAGTAGATTACTTTTTTCCAATCCATAGTAGCCAAATGTTCCTGTTGAGGTATCTGGGGTATAAAGCTAGTTAAGGAAATGATAAGAAATGACCATTAGAGTAATTGAGGTATTGAGCCTATAAATAGAATATACGCTTAACTTTTATTCAGATTATGATTTCAGTAATTCAGTTGTGCATCCTCTGTTCTAATTCTCTCACTCTATTCCCTTCATGTTCTTCTCTCCTTCCCTCTCTCCTCTCATTTTAGTCATTAAAAATTGTAACTTTTCAGGCCCTCGCACGATGGATCATGACAATTTAGAGAACTATAGATGTTCGTAATGTTGACAAGAGCATTTATGCAATTCAATAAGAATGATGCCAATTCAACTCGGGGGCTGTTTGGCTATGCTCGGCTATAAAAAAATCTCCGACCAACAAAGGAAAAATTAGTGAAAATAACAGTAATTTCTCATAAAAGCCCAAAAGCAAGCAAAACCAGTAGGTAGTAGTAGCCCAGTTTCCCTCTTTTCAGTTTTTCAAGAATGAAGATACCAAACATTCACCCTTCCCATAACAAATAGATCGACCAAACATGTGAAATATTTACTTCATATAAGATACCCTAACCTCTCACTAGCAGCCCATAATTGGAAAGAAGAAATTAGACCCTTACGTAGCAATTAGCAGAACTGTACCTTGAAGAGTTCTTGGAGAACTTAACCGAGGAAGAACAAATAGACGGGCAAGGGAAGTGGAAATGAAGAGAGAAAGCGAACGCCGAAGAAACAAGCTCAAGAGAGTCCGAGAACGTGAGGAGGGAAAAGAATATGCTCTCTCGGGTTGGGTACGTATGGCGTATTTGATTGGTCTGTTCGTCTTTGACTGTCTGATGGGTTGTGCCCACTGTACTTTGCTTCGACCATCAAGTCATCAAGCATTCGTTGCCTCCAAGCGTGAGCCATAGAAGTTTGTTCTTGGCCAGAAACGAACCTACGAAGTCGATTTGAGAAATGACATTTTACCAGAATATAAATTATATCTCTACATTGCACAGGTCTAAAATAAGTTAAGAGCATATTTGGAGAACATTCCAACTTGAGATGGCCCAAACTTAAGTTGAAATGTCAAAATTTAAAAGCTCAATTTATGATGTTTGGATGGCAAAAAAATTTCAACCACAATTAACTTCAATCCAACGTTTTGGATGAAGCTGATCCACCTAGCTTTTTCACCTACACCAGGGCAAATGAATGTTGGCAGCATTAAATGTTTTTTAAATTTCTCTCTTTCTTTCTCTCTTCATTACTTGCTACTCCAGCTAATGTGAACCAAAGCCTTTCGTTGTTGTCACCCCATGCTAGCTCATCCCTTGCTCGCCCTTCACTTGTTGCCACTGGCACCACCATTACTATCCGATCTCAACTATGTGTGTTGCTCCAGTTGATTCTTGCTTGCCATCTCAACTATGTGTGTAGCTTCAGTTGATTCTTGCTTGTCATCGTCTCTTCTTTATGGGTCAACATGGTGTTCCTGCTTCGAGAGTGTCATTATCGTCATCCATTCTTCTCCTATTGGATTTGCACTTCTCTACATAGAAATGATTGTCGTCGCCATCCGTTAATCATGTGTCAAGTTAGGAGTGCTGGGATCTTGGGATTGAAGATGGTGGAAGAATGATGCTTGCTTACAATATGAATTGAAGGTCACCGGATCTTGGTGTATAAGGACTTGATAATTTATGAATTTTTTTAGTTTTTGGTAATTAAATATTTTTTTTATTAGATAATATTATGTAGTTAGAATTGAATTTTTTTATTATATATTTTTAAAAATATTAAGATTTTTTAGTTATTAATTTTAATTTTAAGTTTAATATTTTGTACTTATTAATTAGTAACAAAAATATAAACAAGAAAATGTAGGTTTATTTTTATCATTAAACATCTCAACTAACTTATATCTTAAATCATCCAAATAAATTTTAATTTATCTAACTAACTTCTAAAAAAAAAAATTATCCAAACATAAAGTATGTTATATTTACTGACTTTTATACTAACCTCAGTTTACTATTCTTAATTGTAAATTTTTTAATCCAAACACACTAAATATAAAATTTTTTGGCCAATAAATTAAATATAAATTAAGGGTAGAATGTTTCAATGAGTTTATTTATTTATAACTTTTTCTATATATATCTATGTATGTATATGTATATATGTCATTTATGACTTATGAATAACTTAATTTGTTAAAAATTTTCGTGTCATTTTATGTAATGTCATTTTCTTTGAGATATTTTCGTTGAGGAATTGTGTGCTGTCATCTTCTACAGTTTACAACAGCCTCATGCTAGTCTTCTATAGCTTTTGGATTGGAACAGATTTTTTAATAAACTCGGTGCACATCATTCATGTACTATCAGAAAATAAAATTTTTAAAAAAATGAAATAAGATTTTATTTAATTTAATTGATACAATTTTATTAAACAAATCATGGATGATGTAACGCATTTAATTTATGCAAGAATTTCTCTTTCATGTTATAAATCTTACAATTCTATTTATTTTACTATTTATATTTTTTTTAGGAAAAACATAACTATTGATTTATATAATTTTATTTCATTTTATTATTAGTCCTTTTTTTTAAATGTTCCAAGTTTCTTTAGTTTTTATCGTCTATGAGGTTAGTCCCTCTGCTTATAAATATGCTTAAAGCAACAATGATGTGACATAAATAATAATATTAAATTATCTAATACATAACTAACAATGTTAATGAGAATGCTGATATGTTTAAAACACATGAGTTGACATTTTGAATTAGCAATAAGTGGAAAAATGATAATTTATTTTTAATGAAGATTATTATGGACTTCTAGCAACATTGCATGTCAATGTCAAAAAGTGATTTTCAATTACTGTGGGTCGAGCTTTTTACCTTGTGTATTAAATGCCTTAATTTAATACCTTCTGTGCCACATTTGCATCCATCTAAGCATATTTAAAAATAGATGAACTAATATTACATATGAAAAAAAAAATTATAAGAACATAAAACATTAAAAAAAATACTAAGATCAATAATAAAACATGATAAAATTATATGGACTAATAGTTATATTTTTCTCTATTTTTATTAACAAGTAAATGAGCAAAGTATCCCCTAAATTTTAAGTCCAGTAGCACCAAAGACCCTGAACTTATTTATTGTGTAAATTGTTTCCTCAACTTTTAATCTGCTAAGCCATTTATTTTTTTCACGAATTTGCAAAAAAAAAAACACATTTAAATGATGACAAGTTCCAATATGATAATCTTTTCATAATTCATTCCAAATACATTAAAGGTAAAGGGACAAAAATAAGCACCGAGTAATTAGTCAAAAGCATCTAGTAGTCTAAAGTGAGAAAAAGAGGTAAAAATACTTATAATGTTACCAAAGTTGGTGTATAAGTGATCAAACTATTAACTTGCCCTAACGTCCATAGTTTCCAATGTTAAATGCTAACTATGCTTGCCACCTATCAATATTTGCTAATGTGGGTTAAAAAAGGAAAAACACTTATAAAGTTGTCAGCCATGAGCATCCAGTATCATAAAGTGAAAAAAATGGTATAAATACCCATGATGTTACTTCAATAGGTGCAATAGTAACCAATCTATTAAATCTCTTAAATGCTAACCGTTTAACTAACACATAAGTAAAAATTGACCATTCTTTCAATGACATGAACCAAAAATATTCCTAGGTGAAATTCTATAGAGGTTAATCCATCAATGTATGAATACTATGTAGAAAAATGTCATTTTGACTGAACAACAAATTCAATTGATTACTTCTTTGTAGCAGGGCTGAGCCAATTTAGGATTTCAAACTTCATCATGAACAAAATTGCTTAAGTAATATTATAGGTATTTATGCCCTTTTTCTCATTTTAAGCTACTGAATGCTCCTAACTGAGGATTTCATGGGGATTTTTGCTCCTTTTTTAATCCATGTTAGCAAGCATTGATAGGTGGTAAGCACAATCAATATTTAACACTAAAAACTAATGGACAAGAGGGCAAGTTAACAGTTTGGTAACTTTTACACAAATTTTAATAAGTTATGGGTATTTTTGCATTTTTTTACTTTATGCCACTAGATACTCTTGGCTGATTATAACATCTCAGATTTTAGTCCCCAGATCAACCGAGCTTAATTATGATAATTGAGTTAATTAACATGGTGTGTGGCTAGGGAGGTCTAATGACTAGTTTTGATTGCGTTTCAGCCCTAATTGTGGGTCCAGTGAGAAGTCGGGCTACCTGGGCATAAAAAAGAGAAGGAATATTTCTATGCCACACGCCACAATATGGAGTGTGTTCGTTGCAAGACACAGACGGATACTAGAATGAGAGCAGACCTCTTTGTGTCATGTGCTACGGCGAGTTCAGCATCCCCTGCAGGGTGTAACCCAATTTCTACAATTTTAAGTTGCAAATTGAGAATGAAAATGGAGAGGAAGAAGGAGAAAATGAAAAGCTAATGAGGAGCTCTGCTAAGGTTTGTTCTTGGGTGATATTAAAAGTATTTTGAGGCTACTAAACATAAAAAATAAGTGCCCTATACTCATTTCTTTTTATCTCTTCCACATTTATAAAGTTTATGGTTAATGGGAGATAATTTTCAGTTCATATAAGTTATAAGTAATCCATTGACTCAAATAGAGTTAATAGGAGTAGATTAAAGTATCTAAACCTAAATATATTCAGTTTTGGCACTTTTGGTGGTTAGATCTCATTATTATGCGAAAATGATATTAATGAGGGTTTTTGAAAGAGTTATAATGTCATTAATGTTATTAGAGACTAAAGAGAGTTAATAAACCTAATGGATAAGCCCAAAAGGTGAAATTGGTGTTATTAGGAAAATGGGAAAGTGAAAGTGTGAGTTAGTAGTGTACTCTTGGCAATGTTAATGAAGATTTACATGGTTAATTGTATATTAAGTTCTTAGTCACCAATTTGGCTTGAAAATTCAAGTTTGGAAGCTATAATATTGAGGGGTAAATATTTGATCTCTTAAAAGTTTAAAGTAATCGGGGAAGCCCTATTTTTGGTAATTATATGTTAATTGCTCTACGATGTGATATATTTGTTTAACATGTAAATTTGTGACTTGTGAAATTATGTAGCATGCTATAAGACTATGTGTTTGCATAATTGCCTTAATTGTGAAATGAACTCTAAAGTACAAAAGTGATTTTGAACTGAGTGGCAATTTGCAAAGTGTTATGAAATTGAATAATTGATGATAAATCTTGATAAAGATGTATGTGTTGAATTTAAAAGTAGTGGATGTATATGAAAATGAGTATTGGTCCTCACTTAGGTAGCACACGGTCGTGAGCCCAATGTGATGATTGTGATAATGAGTAAAATAGAATTTGAATAGAAAGTAAGCATCGTACTTAACATGATCAGTGGCTAAGAGTTCTCCTAGGGATTAGAAAATCCATATGAGACTTAGCCTGCCCTCCAGTGCATGAGGGTATAGCCTTATACCACAGCTTATCGAGGGACTGTCCCATAATTTGTCAAGAGACTAACACTACAAGAAAAATCAGGATTTAGCGAGGAATTATTTTTGTCATAAAATACATAGCTAAATGATGGGTTGCTAATATTTAGCAAGGAGTAATTTTTTTCTCGCTAATTAGCGAGGAATTAGCGAGGACCTTTATTTTCCTCTCTAATTTTAGCGAGGAATTAGCGAGGACTTGTTATCCTCTCTAATTTTAGAGACAAGTTAAATGCCTCACTAATTCCTGCTAATCGCATGTTTTAGCCAGGACTTTTTGCGAGGGATATTTTCCTTACTAAAATTAGCGAGGAATATGTTGTCGCTATTTCCTCGCTAATATATTATAATTGGAAAAAAATATCAGGACAGCAAATGATTAGAGATGAATTAATTCCTCTCTAATTCGTCACAAATCAGATTAGTTAGAGAGAAATAATTTCCTTACAATTTCCTCACTAAATTGCACATTGGTTGTGTAAGAATCAAAATTTTGATTATAAATAAATCCTGTTTAATCAAGCAATTAACTAAAAAAATGAAATCTAAACAATATAATATAAGTGGTTCAATCTGTAATTCATATATGAAAAGTCATATCATAAGTGGTTCAATATGTTAACCACATATCAAAAGTCATACAATATTATAAGATAGTAGAATAATAAACTCAATAAGAGTTCTAAGTATCTCATGCATATAAAATAAAGGAAAAACTTAGGAAATAACATAGCTATTTTCCACCACCATTTGGATCTAATTGCTTAGAAGAATTTGTACTGCTAGCACTAATGCCACTCCCTCTACCCCCTTGTATTCTTCTTCGGCCTCTCCCTGTTGGCATAGCTAAATAGTAGATAGAAGCATAGATAATCAATTAACATATTAGCAAGAATACCAGGTTGAATATGATGCACAATGTCTTTTTTCTTCAATCTGACATCGAAAAAGCTTAACAGGGCAAGAATTAGCATGTGTTTCATACACTCAACAACAGCATTTAGATTGCCAGGCATGTTAATTATCTGAATTACAAACAAGGACCATAATTTAGCATGTAAATACCAACTCCTTAAGACTGGACAATTCTGCCTAAATCAAAAAAGTTGATATATTAACTTCAATGCTATACTAATTGCTTAAGTAGATACAATATAAAAGTAATGGGGAAGAATTTAAGAGAATCGAACATGTATATACAAGGACTAAATAGCTGGAGATTGTAATTCATGACATTATACAAGCTGACACAGCATGTTAATAAGAGCAATGATGATTCATGACATTATACAGGAGATGAAAATAGAGATATATGCATGCCAAAACTCTATCCAATGCATATATAACACCCGACTAAATAGAATATTTTCATATCAGCAATAAACCAAATCATATAGTATGTGGCAGTAATATAATCAAATATATATATATATATATATCCATAATAATTACAAAATCAATCTAAAACAAAATCTGGCATTCAAGATAAGTTAAATGTGGTTACTTCACTTCAAACTGAAGTAATAACATTAAAATACTAGCTCATGATCTTCTCAGTCGGAGAACAGTACCAAATTTTAACCTACAAAAGTAAGATAAATTTTCAATAAATACCATATCAATCCCAAATTTCTTCTATCAATTTTAAATAATTAATTTTGTAAAAGAAGGATTCTGATTCAACCTCAAAAACATCTCTTTATCTTTCTAATCTATCACCTCTAATCCTCCAAAAATACTAATATAAATTCCAAAATTCCTCATTATAGTCCAAACAATTTCCTTAGCCATAAACAGCCCAAATAAATCTATAATAACATTATATAACTTCTAGATTAGTCAAAAATGATCTGGAAATAACTTATCCGTTATCTATAAATCAATATCTAAAGAGCAAGAAACAAGTAAAAATAGTCTCAAAAGAAGACCTACTAGTTCAAAGCAATCAGCATCACAAGTGATGAGTTGAGATTGATACATAACAGAGCTTGAGAAAAAAATAGGAAAAGAAGCATAAAGCTGACTAAAGGAAGAAAGTGAATACATAAAGCTGACTAAAGGAAGAAAGTAAATCAAACATGCATCTGACTCCTAAGCTATTGGCAGTTGAAAAGATACATTAGAGTAAGTTTTAACACTAACATACAGTTAGGAACTAAAAAAAATTATATGATTTGGATGCTACAGGCAAAATTAAAGAGAGATGAATAGAACAGTTAAGAAAAGGATGTAACAGCAATGTATATAACAAGAAATTTCGAGCCTAAGGAAGGGGTTTTTTCTGATATTTAAAAGAAAAAACATGAGGATAGATGCACACATATACACGAAGAGGAATGCATAGAGAACACAACAAGCTGATAGGAAAGAGCTAAGCTAACAGTGTAAAGAAAAAACAAGAAGAGTAAATAGTAAACATATAAAAGAAGGATCTCAAAAGAAAAATGTAAATGTATAAGGAATATATAATAAAAGTAAATAGTAAACATCAATCATAGAATAAGCTAAGAAAAATACTTCATCCAATCTTTTCAGTTTCAGGACATGCAAAACTCATCAGACAGATGTAAGGAATATACCAGAGGTGGATGCTTGTAGCTGTAAATGTATATAAGATGTTTATATTTGATCTATTGAGGATTTAGCGATTTGCTATCTTGGACCTTTGAAAGGACTTTATTTTTATGTCTTCTTTTTAAAAAAGGTGTGTGAGATGAAAGCATGTTTAGTTGATATTGTGAAGAATGCCTAGAGGGTGTCAAGTCTATGTATGTATATTCTGGGCAAGCGGGCTTTCGTGTAATAAATAATGTCTGGAAAATTCAAGGAGTGCAACATAGAGATTATCGATTAGAGCACCACTTTGAATAGAAATGTGCTTGCCTTCTGATCAAGGGTAACAAAAGCTGCTCAATGTGCTAGCATACCATTAGGGCTTAACATAATTGAATAAGATTTGCTTAAAAATATTTAAATGAGCCAAGTCATAAGAGCTCATCAACTTGTCAAGCATTAATTAAAAGGATGCTTATAAAAATATTTATATATTGTCTATCAGTTAAATCTTTATTTAAGTAGGAGATTTGAATCCACGATTTATAAACTAAAAACTTATAGACTAGACTAACATTTATTAGCAATGTAATTAAACTAGCTATTCTATAGAAAGTTTGGAATTGTCAGAATAAGTTCCTCAATTTCCCATTTACCCAGTTACCATCATGGTTTAAAGACAGCAAAAAGACAGGTGGAACACTTAGCTGCTAAAAGAAGGACAATACTAAAAATTGCAACCAATGTACTGTTAGGCAAAAACAAAAGCCACTCATCTCTTTATCCAAACAAAAACATCAACCGGTAAAATTGAGCATGCTCTTTATTCGGAAGGAGAAAGAAAAGGTGCACTGGCTACAGCAAAAGCAAAGGCAAAAAAACAGAAAAAAATAGGATTTCCTATTCTGTTTTAAATACAATTCAATCTCTATCTCGGCCATTAGTATCGTACAATTCAATCTCACAAAATCTTGTTCCTTGATTTTACTTACATGGAAACTAAACCCACAAATTGGAAGAATAGAAAAATTCATTGACACTAGGGAAGAACAGAACAAGCCACACAGTAGTTTGAATCATATAAAAACCTGGTGAAAGAGAAGTTCTCCCTTCAACAACTGAAACAATGATAGAAACTGGAACTCAAACATGGCCAATATTACTGCAACTTGAAGATTTGGTAGATGAAGTTAATGAAGAGGTTAGATTAAAGACAAAATCAACCATGATTAAGTGATTCTCTTGCACGTTCTCACCTGCATGTCCTCGCCCGAGTGCTAGCATCTCTTGCGCCTATGGTTTGAGCGGCCGCACGATGAGTGAGTCAACCTTGTCGAACGCGCGAAGAAATAAGACAGAGTAGGGTTACGTTAGATTTACGCGGGAACAAAATGGAGGGAATAATATTGGGTCTGAAAAAGCAAATTGGAGATATATGAAATTATAGAGGGAATATATTTTTTAAGAAAGTATTTTTTATATAAAATATCTTATAAAATAAAAATAGTTTTTTATATATAAGATATTATAATTTTTTAAAAATAATTATATATAAGGCATTATAAATCTTTAGAAAATATTTTTTATATATATTAATATAGTACAAAATAATAGTTTGGTAAAATAGGTACATTTTTAAAAAAGTAAATAAAAAATTAGAACCCTTCTAATTATTATTATTTTTTAATTTTGCTATTAATTTTTTAGAGAGGAATAATCATTCCTCGCCAATTCCTTACTAATTAGATAGGAACATATTTCCTTGCTAATTTCCTCACAATTTAAATTTTTAGAGAGGACTACTGTATTCCTCATTAATTTTCCTCACTAATTAAGCACATTAGAGAGGAACATGTTATTCATCGCTAACTTTCCTCACTAAATAATTTTTAGAGACAAAATTAAATTTCCTTGCAAAATTTCTCACTAATTCAATCATTTGGAGAGAAATACACAAGTCCTTGCTAAATTTCCTTGTAAATCTAACTTTTTCTAATAGTGTAAAACCTAGCTCTCTCTATCAGTTTATCAAGGAGATTAGCTTAGGGCATACGACACTCCAGAGATTCAATAGTGGGAGAAGCCATGATCTAAGAGTGAGTCATGTGATCTTTGGCTAGGTCACACCTCACAATTAGTGAGCTTGGGTAGTCTAGTCACACGGACAGAGTCTTATTCAATGTTATAGCCTATGGTTTCAGTTGGAGGAAATAAATAAGATATAAGGTTGGTTGATCATTGCCTATGAAAATATATAACGTGTCATATATTTGAGTTGTGACAAGTCGTGTTGATATATCTGATCATGGTCACATGTCTAAGTGTCTTATGATGTTATATCGTGTAACACCCTCGAATTTACAAACTGATTTTTCACAAATTATTAATTCAATAAATTATTTTTTCATTGAACCCTTATCATACGCTTATTATGGTAGAAAAATTTCTACCATGATACATCCAAGACAATATACCACAGGTCATAAAATATCTCAAAAAGCAATTAGAACCATGAGGGACAGACAGGATCCTCATGGCATGATATTCAAATCAGGTCATGAATTAAGAGGGACAAACATAATCCTCTTGGTCATATAAATGCATTTAATAAAAAGGATTAGAGTTTACATGTTGTCAAAATAAGATATGTCCTAGGTTGGCACAAGATACATTGCATAATACAAAATGAGAGGCAACGTAAAAGATGGTATCTTATACACCAAAGTTACACCTCTGGTGCTTTTTCGGCCGGACTCGCTGCTGTAAAAATGTTAACCACGGGGAATGAGACTTAAAAGTCCCAGTAACCAAAAATTAATATGTAATGATGCATGCGGATGTAACTAATCATGCGATTGCTAAGCAGGCACACAAAACATTTAACCGAACAATATTTTCAAACAAACCGAACAAGTATTTAATTGCATGACTGCACCTTATATCCTCCTTTTGCCATGCTCGGACGCTAAATCACCCGGCCAAAGGTGAGTTGGACCAAGCGACACGCCACTCATTGGGTCCAATGAGGGCTTACCACGTGGTAATAATTAACCGAACAGAAATTCCCATTAACACCATACATTAAAATACTCTGACAAGTCATGCATCATTCAAATATTCAAACAGGAATATATCAAAACAATAATATCTCATCATGATAAACAAAAATAAATTTTTGACCCACTTGACATTAATTTCAAACAAGTATATAACAGTATTTATTTTAATAATTCATAATTTTTTCAAACAACAAAACAACACATAACCATTTACAAACACACTCATCACAACACATTAATAATGGTTACCTTGTGTCTTGAATAACAAGTTCCCCTTCACAACTTCTCTTTCACCACTATCTTTGTCAACACAATCTACATAGTTATTTCATAATACTATATATTAATTTTACATTAAAATAAATAATTTTAATTTAAAAAGTTAGAAAGTCTTAGATCTATAATCCATATTAACACTAATTTAAGATTTATGCCTCATTTAACTTTCCAAATTCTTTTCTAAAATTCTCACACCCTAATAAACTATTTTTAAGCCTCAAATCACTTCTAGTATCGCAATTTCATCCTTCTATATTCTAAAAATTCGTCCAAAAATAAATTAAAAATTTTAGAATTATCCTGAAGCCTCAAATCACCTTTCTATAACCTCAAAAATACCTATTTTGACTTAAATAAATATTTAATAATTAGAGGTTCATCCCTACATCTCAGATTCAACATAAATTCAACCATATAGATCTAGAGTTTAACTTAAAAATTTTTAAACATGAGTTTCAACCTCAAGAAAATATTCTATAATATTTATTATATCCCTAAGAACTTCAACCTATATTTTTAATCTATCATATCATCAGATTAACTATCCTATAGAAAATCCTAATCAAAATATTTGTTCTATTCTACAAAATAATCATATAACTAGAAAGCTAATACTATTTAGAAAATAACTATAAAATTAATTTTGTAATTAAATAATTTTTTAAATGCTAATCTAAACAGGAAAGTTAGAGCATACCTGAAGAAAAAGAAAATAATCTCCCCTTGCGAGAACACGCCAAGCAACGTGAGAGAAAGAGAGAAAAATAATATAAAAATGGGATTGTGGGTCCCACAATTATACTATAGGTTTGAATTTAATTATTCAAACTCTTGGGCCAAAAGTTGCAATTTCCTCCAAATTATATCTTAGCCCTTCATGCTTCCTAATGCACATACCCCCTCCTTTTTATACATAAAAGCACCTCTTCTCTTCCCACATCTAACCAATGTGGGACTTAGAAACAACAACCTTCCACCCTCCTTTTTTTAGTTCCTTCTACCTTCTTTTTTTTTAACACACACATAAAAAAATTATTTATATATTATATCATAACTAAATATTGCCTATGTGATTTTAAATTTAAATTTTTAATTCATAATTAAATACCTAACCATAATATTATTTCTAAATAACCTCAAATAATATAAATTCCTATTATTATCATTTTTTATCCTCAATAAAACCTAATTCCACAATTTCTTTATTATCTAAAAATCAGGATGTTACATATCGTACGTAGAGATAAAGATAAGCTAACTGAGTAATAATAAGTTAAGAACTCTGTTTCATATGCATATGTTTAATTATAATTGTTAAATAACTGCATAAGGTAGGTTTTACCTTAGTTACTAAGTGGTTAGACTCACCCCTTTCATTTAATACTTCACAAGCTCTAGCTCTAGTACTGAAAGGGATAAAGCTACTGAGGCTTAGGAATCTATGCATTCCTTTTATATGCCTCTTGTATTTATTTATTTTACGTAATAGAATATTATTGCCAATTATAGGTTGCATATTGTTACACTTGCACTATTTGTTGCAAATATTTGGATTGTATTTTGGATTTTGAGTGATTGTGTATGATAAAATATATATGTTAATAGGGCCAGAATATTAATACAAGTGTAAAAATGTTGTTTTGAATATGTTTAAATGATTATGAATGTAATGCAATGAATTTACCTCCCCCATCTATTTTTTCCTATTAAGGGGTTGAGAAGTGATTTTGTGTTATACTGGTATTTAAATACGTGTGATGTGTTGTACTGTTAGTTCTAGGTTTAATGAATATGGTTTGGGTGTTAGGAATAGCTTCTGGTACTTGTTATGGGTTTTGGACATCCTTTTATATGTGGAAGTTATGAAAAATGATAAAAATGTGTTTGGGTGTCTAACTTCCTGGTGTGACTTGTTTTGAAAGTGAAACCCATGCTGTTAGCTAGTTTACAAAAAAAAACTTTCTGTAAACACCTAGATCATGATATTCAGACATCGAGTGAAAATTTAGGGCACGGCAAAAGTTGCCTAATTCTATTGTCATAAAACGTGCAATATGCCACGGTGCATTTGTGCCTGAACACAGTGCATGGCACAAAGAGCAATATGACATAGTGTGGTATCCACAAGCTACAGCACATTACCTTGTTTTACAACAAACAAGTTGTTTTTCAACTACTTTTAATTTCTCTCACTTCTTTGAGATATCTCATGCTTCCATAATTTATTTTTACTCAGATTGAAGAGTCAATAAATGATTCAAATGTGTTTTAACTTAACAAAACTTGGGATCCCTTGATTTGAAATTAAAAACTTGGTAATCTTCTTAAATGGGTTAATCAATTGATTATCATGAGTTTAAATGGTTCATTATGATTAGTAAAGGAGATGTTTCATCGACCACTTGGGGGTATTTTTTCTTCTTTGCACAAATATTAAACTATAATATTTGTACAAAATATATAAATTGAACTAACCATGCCAAATCATTCTCATCAATTTATCAAAAGTCATGTTGTTCAACCCTTTTTCTTTTATTTTTAATTTTTTAAATAATATGGGTTAAATAGGCTAACTCTAACTCATTAGGGTTAGCCAATATGATTCAAGAGTTATCTCATATGGGGAAAAAAAAACCTATTTTATTTAGTCTAACTTTTTTCCAACTCAACTTGACTCATATGATAGGTTATTCTAGCTAACCCATATAACCCAATCCATATTTTCAACTTTATTATTGAAGCATACTATTATAATTATATTTAATGTGTTTGCCAAATTTTATGTGGAATGGTATATTGGAAAGAGTGATAATGAACTTTTAATATTTTATAACTACGTTTTCAAAAGAATTTGCTGGTGTATGCTTGAATAATCAACTACTACTAATACATTGAATCCCACTGTTGTCTATTTACCATTGTTCTAGGGAAGGAATCATATAAGGACTAGGGAAGGTGAAAGAAGAGAAAGGCTACTTAAGGGCTCTTAATTTTATACCCCTCTTGTGTTGTGCATTTATATGTCATATTGCTGTAGCTCTAGGACTCTGCTT